TACCCTTGCAGAGGGTATTATAATTTCAGTCAGATGTTTGCAACGCAGTGAAGGAGACGTTTCCGACCACATAAAGTATATATATTCTTGATCAGCACCAATAGCCGAGTCTATCTAGCCATGTCCGTCTGTCCGTCTGTCTGTCTGTCCGTCTGTCCGTCTGTCCGTCTGTCCGTCTGTCCGTTTCTATGCGAACTAGTCCCTCAGTTTTAAAGCTATCGCAATGAGACTTTCCCAAAAGTCTTCTTTCTATTGCAGGTAGTACATATGTCGGAACGAGCCGGATCGGACCACTATATCTTATGGCTGCCATAGGAATTATTAACAAAATAATAGAAAAAACTTTATAGAAAGTAGGCTTTTTGATTTTTGACAATGTAAAAACAACATTTTAGGTAGGCATACCTGCAGGGGTATATAAACTTCGGCTGGCCGAAGTTAACTTCCTTTCTTGTTATTATTTGTGACGCTGGGTCGCCACACTCCCCCCGCTTAAGATGCTGATGTCTCGTTGGTGTTGACGTGTACGTGTCCATCTCTGCCGATCCGGATACGGGTTGTGTGGTTATCCGAGACCACCAGCTTTGTTTTTCGGTTTCCGCTCCGCCAGGTTGCCTTGCCGTGTTGCTGCTGTGGTCGTGTCCCTGATTGTTGTTGTCGCCAATGTTTGCCGTGTTATTGTTGTGGTCGTGTTCATGGTCGTAGGTGTCGCCAGCGTCTGCCGTGTTGTTGTGGTGGGTGTCGTCGAGCGTGGTTTTTTGTGTGGCTCCTGTCTGCCTACCGTGGCAGCCCTGGTTGTCTTCCGGCAACCAGCTGGACCTGCCACGTCCACGGCTCCGAGTATGATCACTCTCCGCCGCTGCTGGTTGAGCCTTTGAAGGTTCTCCCGGTACTTCGAGAGCGAGTTTTGTAACTTCTTGTCCATTCTGAAACATGGGCGGATGGATTTTAGTTAGTTGGTTTTGGAGTTGCGCATGCTTGTTAGTCGAGGGTTTCTACATGGGGTTTCAGTTCGTTTATGTAGGCTCTGTGCGTCTTCCCGGTCACCGTGTGCTTTGTTGTTGTAATAACCGCTGATATGAAACCTGTTACTTTGAATGGGCATTCGTATTTTGGAGCTAGCTTTGCCGCGAATCCAGTTGCTGCTTTTGACAAGGGGTGTTGTCTTTCCCATACTATGTCTCCTATTTTGGGTGTCCAGTCCCTTTTCCGGAGGTTGTATGATCTTACTTGATCCTGTGCCGGTTTTCCCATGTTTAGGTGTGCTAGTTTCCTTGTTTCCATGATACGCTCCCATCGTGCATGTACTGTCTCCTCTACGATTCCCGATCCTTGCGTGTTTTCGGCAAACAGGCTTCCTGGTAGTCTCATTTCCCGTCCGTATAGCAGATATGCCGGGCTATATCCTATTGATTCTGATCTGCTACTGTTGATTGCTAGTGATATTTCAGGTAGCCAGTCGTCCCATCTTGTGTGTTCTGTTTCCGAGAATTGTGCTATCATTGTTTTAATCGAACGGTTGCCCTTTCTGCCGGGTTTTCTTGAGGGGTGTATGGGGCTGTCAGCTGGTGAGCAATTCCCCATTTCTGTAGTTGTGGCATAAACTTGTTGCCAGTAAATTGCACCCCATTGTCCGAGATTATTTTTTTTGGTGTTCCGAATCGCGCTATGACCCTTATGCTATGATCCCTTAGTACCTTTAATACGATATCTGTTGTTGCTTTCCGGACGGCTGCAATTTCTACCAATTTTGTAAACCTGTCGAACATCACTAGCAACATGTTATTACCGTGGCTGGATCTCGGTAGTTGGCCCACGAAGTCTATGCAAAGGGTTTCCCAGGGTGCTTTCGCTATTTCTGACAACATTTTTCCTGCTGCTTGCTGCTGAGATGTCTCGTAGCGTTGGCACGTTTCGCAGCTTCGTACATGCTGCTGTATAAAAGCAAGCAAGCAAGGAAGAAAGACGTACACAAAAAGAGTCCTCAAAAAGTCTTCGTTTTTGTGAAATTCCCGCGTCTAAAAAATCCAAAATTGTTGAAAAGTGTCGTTTAAACTTCGTGTTGTTTCGTTCCGTGCAGTAAATTTTGTTAAAACAATTAAATACATTGGCAATTAGCAAATTTATACTTGCCAGTGCCAGCCAAAGCAATAACAAAACAAGCGTCGAGCTAAGCAAAACGGAATCTGAAAACTCACACGCACTCACTGTATTGACACTCAAATGGCTCCAGCAACAAAACGCTTGCGTGAAAATACTTCCACGGATCCTAAAAAGACCGTCCAAATGATTCACTCTCGCCTACGCTGATTGAGTTAGTTGAGCAGAAATTTGCTGAGCAACTGCTAACATTACTGCCACAATAACTGCCTCAATGCAAAAATCTGAGGATCGCCTTTTACACGAAATGCATGAAAAAGTTAACGTGATGAGTGGAAAAATAGAAGAACTCACTCAACGGGTGCACCAACTGGAGAATGAGGTCGCAGTGGTGGAAAGGCTGAAGGAGAGGATGATGTAGCTAGAGGCCGAGACCAAGGATGCACAAACTCTAGGAGGGCGGGTTGGAGAGATTGAAGCGCGGGTGGCAACACAAGTGAACGAGTCCATCGCAGCGGACCTGAGAGTCCATGGTGTGCCGTACCAAGATAATGAAAACTTAAAGTCACTATTTCACTCACTGTGTTTCAATCTGAAACTCACGCTGCCACCAAGGATTCGAGAGGCCTTTCGCATATCACCGAGAAGGCCAAATCCGAACGTAGACCCGGTCATTATAATTAAATTCGAGCACGTGCGCGATAAAGCCGCAATACTGCGCGCGGCTGGTGCGTACACTCATAAAAAAAAATCGAAGAATTTCCTTAAAATCTAGAAAATTCTTTCTTGAATTTTTGCCAAAGGCGACCTCCCCTTTGTTTCAAGAAATGGTTTTTTTGAAAGGCACCATTAAAACAAGAAAAAATATTTCTTGTTTTAAGAAATTAAATTTCTTAAAACATGAAAGGGTTTTTTAGAAAGCTACCATAAAAACAAGAAAAAATATTTCTTAAAACAAGAAAGGCGATTCTTGTTTCAAAGGTGGTTTGTTTCTTGTTTCAAGAAATTAAATTTCTTAAAAAGGGTTTTTTAGAAAGGCACCTTTTAAACAAGAAAAATTCTTTCTTGTTTAAATTTCCTTTCAAGAAATTTTATTTCTTGATTTAAGAAATAATATTTCTTGAAAGGAAGTTTTATATTAACACTGAAACCCTAAAAATAAAATGTAACTTGGTTTTTTCTTTTGCATATTATATTTATTTACATTTAAAACATTTAACACTTAACATTTAAACATTTTTAAATAACACATTTTTGACTCAAGAAAACATTGTTATTACCCAAGGTCTGTTGAACTCCATATGACCTAAGCTGATCCATTTTCTTCGCCTTTCCTCATCTAGAAAAAAAGAGTTATTGGGATATCAATGATTTGTTTTTAGATAAACAACTTTTTTGAAATAATGTAATGTTAATAATAGCCAAAATACAAACACGTTGGACAGACGACCGAGAGAGAGGAGCAAGACGGGTAGAAAATGAAGGGTTGAAAATCGAATTTCAGAGAGAGAGAGGCACGGGAGACACACGTACATACATACATATATATTTACATACAGTCCTTTGCGCGAAGGGAGACCGAATGTAAGCAGGGCAGATCGTGTCAGTTTTAAGAAGGTGAAGAGAGAAACTTCGCGACGCGTAGGTCGAGCGAGCGAGAGAGAGGAGCAGAATATGAAAGGGTTGAAAATCGGGTTTCAGATCGGGTGAGCCGCGTACATGCATAGATATTTACATGCATACATAAGTATGTCAAACAAATACAACATATTTTTCTTACCTTAGAAGGTTTTAAAACAAAATTACAGCTTCGACAAACAAATTATTTGGCTGATGCAACTGCAGATATTTTCACTCTGAAAAATAAATAAAATGCGAGTAATAAGATAAAGTTATTATAGAACTGTACACCCACAAATTTATGTACAAATGTATGTATGTACGTAGCTCTTAGCTAAAAAACAATTCAACTTAATTGATATAAGCTTGGTGAAGAGATTTGGAATTTATCCTTTAATTACATACATACAATTGTACGCGCGCTATACAAAAAATTATATATTTACATACCTTTGAATATTCGGAAAAAGGCTTCACCTCTTATCCGCTTGAAAATCACGTCCATCACTCACGAATTTTTTTCACAACTGACGCTCGGGGGATCAGAGAAGTCGGTAGCCGGGTAGTAGTCGGGCCGAGTAGGCCCTTCGTCCCACTTCGTTTTTCTTGTCGTTAACATTCGGCAGCCGAAGAAAGTCAATGGCTACTTTCCTATATTCTAGGGTCATTTCATTCATATATTCAAAGGTGATTTTGTCCTTAAATACGTACAAAAATGTTTTGGCTGCGACGGCAAAACAAACATATGAGATTTTCATTTTTCTATTTTTAAGAAAAATTCTTTCTTGAATTTTTTCCATCAAGAAAGGTTTTCTGTATTCAAAGGACAATTTTCTAATAACAAGAAATTTTTTTTCTATTTTCAAAGGTAGGCCGATTCAATGGCGAGATTTCCAAAATTTAGAAATTAATTTTTATGAGTGTACCGAAGAGAATTTAAGCAGCCACTAACCCTTCAACTGCTGGGAATGAATTCGCCGGCTGCTGTTTACCTTAATGAACAGCTTTCAAGAGAAAATTACGAGATCTTCAGAGAGGCCAGAGGCCTATAAAAGCTTAAGCGCCTCTTTTGGGTCTTTACACGGCGGGGGATTGTTCACGTCACTCAATGCGTGGGAGCTGAGGTAATGTGCGTTGAGAGTATGCAAAAGCTTCACGCTTCGCTCTCTCTTAACAACTCATCTGTTGAGAAAGAAGGCGGGCAAAAAGAAGCAGCAGATGACCAAAATCTTTTTCGTTAGAATATATCTCTTAAATATGAAATGTATTAGGGTTAGTTATACTTGTGTAAGAGAAGTCGTAATAGTTATTTATTTTTATTGGTACAACATAATTGTTCTTAAATTGCGTGTGTTTATAGATTCTATTCAACGTTTCTGATATAGAGGCATCCCAATCGAATAGTCGATCAATTTTGAGGGTTCTCACCAAACAAAATAATGGGTTACATATCTGCCATATAAATGGGCAAAGTTTATGCAAAAAGATTGAAGAGTTCAGGTATTTGTTTGTTAAGTCCAACATAGATGTTTTGTGTGTTTCTGAAACGTGGTTTTCTCCTCAAATCAATGATGCAATGGTAGCATGTGATGGGTACGATATGTACAGATCCGATCGTGAGGGGCATGCCGGGGGTGTCGCTATATACATTAATACAAAACTTAAAACAAAACTAATTTGCAAACATCCAACAGGAAGTGCAGTTGAATACCTATTTTTACAAGTCAACGGGAGTCGAAGCGCTTCCAATATGCTTCTCGGGTGTGTTAACCGACCGAATCGAACAGTTGACTATTCTGATTATGTTGAAGTGGTGGCGTCGTTATGCTGTAAATATAACAACGTTTTAATAACCGGGGATTTTAATAGTAATCTGCTAATTGAGCGGCATCTAAACATAGAAATGGAGAGCCTTGGACTGTTTCCTGTGAACTCTACTTTACCTACACATTTCTCCAATTCTCTTAACAGTCTTCTTGATGTTTTCTTTGTAAATGATCGTAATAAGACTCTTTTATATGACCAAGTCTTAGTGCCAGCTTTTTCAAAGCATGACTTGATCTATCTCACATATGAATTTGACCCTATTTTTCTTGACAACACCATTAATTACAGAGATTTTAGGAGAATTGACATTGATCTACTTAGCCAGCATTTAGATGCCCTCGATCTTAATTATATACATACTTTAACAGATGTAAATGCCCAAATAGGTTTTTTGACTGAATGCATAGAGTCTTTGTATGAGAAATTTGTGCCCCTTAAACAAAAAATTATTAAGGCCACGGGAAATCCTTGGTTTAATAATGCCATAGCTTTAAAGATAAGCCAAAGAGATAGTGCTTACAGAAGATGGAAAAGATACAAAATCCCTGATTACTATAAAGAATTTAAGTCATTACGAACTGTAGTAACCACCTTAATCATTAATGCGAAGCGTGCTCTCTATTCACAAAAACTTCAAACTGCCATGCCGATGGAGCAGAAATGGAAGGAGTTAAAAAATTTGGGTGTTGGCAAGTCCAAAAACAAAAGCAATATAACTGCAAACCCCAATGAACTGAATATAAAATTTGTGCAATCAAACGTACCTGAAACTATGACCAACCCTTATCTTGACATTATTGTGAATAATATCTGTGATAATAGCTTAAGTTTTATGTGTGCTTCTTCTTGTGATGTTTTAGATTCGGTTCCTAAAGTAAAGTCGAATGCGGTAGGGATTGATAATATACACCCTAGCTTCATTAAAATAATCCTGCCAAAAATCATTAACAAAATAACTTATGTGTTCAACACTGCATTTACGACTGTCTGTTTTCCTAATATCTGGAAAATGGCAAAAATTATTCCCGTCCCCAAAGCCAATGATGAATACAGACCGATATCTATTTTGCCATTTCTCTCTAAGGTTTTTGAACAATTAATGGCACAACAGATTAATTTGTTCTTAGGCCAAAATTCATTAATGTGCAATAACCAATCTGGTTTTCGAAAATTTAGAAGCTGTACAACTGCGATATTAGATATAACCGAGAACATCAGACAGAAACCAGATTACATTTTTAGCATTATTGGACTTCAGCAAAGCATTTGACACAGTTAACCACGAAATTCTATGTACTAAACTTTTAAAATCCTTCAACTTCTCTGGACTTGCTGTTAAACTCATATCATTGAGTGGCAGAATACAAGCGGTTTTTATTGAAATTGGATGTTCAGAACCGCTTGCACTGAAGCGTGGCGTGCCTCAAGGCTCTGTGTTAGGTCCACTTTTGTTTTCAATGTATGTAAACGATTTACCAACTGTATTGTCCAACTGTAATGTCCACTTGTATGCTGACGACGTTCAAATGTATGTTAGCTGTCCTATAGGAAGAATATTAGACTGTGTAAATTTATGTAACGTGGAATTGTCAAATGTTAGTAAGTGGGCAACAAGCGATGGTCTGTCGCTTAATCCGTCTAAATGTAAGTGTATCGTTAAAGGTAAAAAATCCTCAAGCATCCGTAATCTTCCAAATTTACATATTGATAATTCTCCGATCTTCTATGTAGAACAGGTGGCTAATCTTGGCATTACAATTAATTCCAATTTGTCATGGAGTGCACATGTTGTCAAATCTGTGGGGAGGTCATATGGTCAACTTAGGCAACTTTATCTGTCGCAACAATTTTTACCAACATCCATAAGACTTATGATAGCAAAATCATACCTCCTACCAACATTGTGCTACGGAACAGAGATTTTTGGTCATTGTGACAGTGCCCCGCAACACAAGTTAAACATTGCATTTAATAACATAGCTAGATATGTATTTAATATTAAACGAGGGGAACACATCACGTCACTTGCTAATAGTATATACGGCTTTAATTTTAAATCATGGAGTAATGACAGAAATCTCATTCTTTTACATAAAATTATAAAAACCAAGGAACACAGTTACTTATATGAAAAATTGAAATTTGGTACCTCAAAAAGAACCCGAAACATTATTACTATTAAACATAAGCTGGCATCTTCGGATCGCCAATTTTTTATTCATTCTATTCGGTTGTGGAGTGAACTGCCACAACATCTTAAAATAATTGAAAGCACATCGCAATTTAGAGACAATTTATTTACATTTTTAAAATCGCAATCTACCAATTAAAATTAAAATTAAAATAAAATACCAAAGTTAATTAAAATAAATTTTCAACAGTTTTGTAATATGTCAGCTCTAATTGTTAATTGTATTAAATGTTAGATATAAGTGTAAAACTTAAGAAGGGACCTACATATTCTTCATTTTCATTATACTTCATTTTGTTTTGTGACTAGTGCATTAATTTATAAGGAATTCCTTGTAGCACTAGGAAGTAAGAAAGAAATAAATAAATAAAATCTCTGTGCATTCCTTGCCAGTAGTATTGTGCCATTATTCGGTGTTTTGTCTTTCTCACTCCTAGGTGCCCTGCCGTTGCTTCGCTGTATTTTTCTTGTAGTACTCGTGGTTTTTTAGCCACGCATAGTTTCCATGGCTGTGTGTCCTCGTCTGCCGCCCATGACGGTATATGTCTATATAGTTTTCCGTTGATTAACGCGTAATCTGGCCATGTTTCGGGGTTTTTTTCCAAGTCTATAATTTTCCGTTTAATCCAGACGTCTTCTTCGACCTCCGCTCCGTGGGCTTCTTCTTCTGGCATTCTGGACAATGCGTCCGCAACGACATTGAGCTTTCCTCTGCGGTAGCGTATCTCGAACGAGTATGGCTGCATTGCCAACGCCCATCTGGCAATCCGTCCTGATGGGCTCTCTATCGAGTTAAGCAGCCACTTTAGCGCCTGATGGTCTGTGATGACTATGAAGTGGTAACCTTCTAAGTACATCCTCATCTTCTGGATGCCCCAGTGGATTGCCAGGCATTCCTTTTCGGTCGCTGAGTAGTTCTGCTCCGTCTTTGTGAGTTTCCGACTGGCGTACGATATCACGTGCTCGCCGTCTTCGTCTTCTTGAGTTAGGACTGCTCCTAATCCGCAGTTGCTGGCGTCCGTCTGGAGTAGAAAAGTTTTCCCAAAATCTGGGCAGGCCAGAACTGGTGCTTCCGTTAGTGCTTTTTTCAGGTGTTGCGTTGCCTGTTCTGCCTCCTCGCTCCATTTAAACTTTGTGTCTTTTTTCACTAAGTTATATAGTGGTTGTGCCAGTTCCGTGAAGTTTGGAACGAATCTTCTGTACCACGAAGCTACTCCCAGAAAGCTGTGTACTTGCTTCGTTGTCTGTGGGCTTGGCATGTCTAGGATCGCGGCTATTTTTCCCGGGTCCGTGTGTATCCCCCTTGCGCTTACAACATGGCCTAGGTACTTCAGCTCTTCCTTGAAGAAGTGACATTTCTCTGTGTTTATCTTCAGGTTTGCTTTGCGTAGTCGGTTCATTACTTCCTGTAGCTTTTCCATGTGTTCCCTTTTGGTACGCCCGATGACCACTATATCGTCCAGGTATGCGAATGCAAAGGGTTCCATCTCCGGTCCTATGACTGAGTCCAGAGCTCTTTGAAACGTGGCTGGTGCTGTGTGTAGTCCGAAGGGCATTACCTTCCACTGATACAGTCCGCGCCCTGGTACGGTGAAAGCGGTGAACTGTTTGCTCCCTTTATCCATCGGTATTTGCCAGTAGCCACTTTTTAAGTCTAGTGTACTTATATATTTGGCCTCCCGTAGTTGGTTGAGTATGTGGTCCATACGGGGTACCGGGTATGCGTCACGTTCTGAGTGCTCGTTCAGCTGCCTGTAGTCTATGCAAAGTCTCCATTCTTTGTTTTTCTTCTCTACTAGTACTACTGGTGAGCTGTAAGCGGAATGCGAGGGTTCGATGAGATCTTGAGCCAGAAGCTCGTCCACTTGTTTGTTTATAATCTCTTGCATGGCTGGGTTTCGAGGATAGTACCTTTGTTTGATTGGGCGATCGTGCTTCATGAAGATCCTATGCGTGGCAATATGGCTGACTCCCTTGACTTGACTCATCATTTCCAACTCTTTTTTAAGGGTTTCTTGTACCTCTGCTTCCGTTAGATCGCCTGTCGCTAGTGATCCGATGCCGTGACTCTTTTTTTTTCCTCCTGTTTTTGTTTCTTTTGTTCCCGTTCATTTTTGCTGTGAGTCCTCCGCATTGTAGTGTCGCGTTGCATTGTTCCAAGAAGTCTATCCCCAGCAGAAGGTCGCCGATTACCTCTTCGAGGATTAGCAGCGTTGTTGTGCTTGTTTTGTTCCCGAGTTGTATTGGTACTTCCAGTGCCTCTGTGACCGTTCTGTTTGTTCCGTCTGCTAGTCTAATGGCTTCGGTTACTTGTTTTTCCGTCCCATGCCTGGCTATGCTGCTGGCTAGTTTCCTGGCGATGAAACTTCTTGTGGCTCCTGTGTCTATGGCCCCGCGAACTCTTGTGTTGCCTATATTTACTTGTGCAAGTAGTCGTCGGCCGTTAAAGTTTATTGATGTTGCGGGTGTGGTGTTTGCCCTGGGCGCCCGCTCTGATCCCATGGGCCTCTGGCGTTTCCCGACGTTTCGTTCCGGCGACAGCAATGGATCGTTCGTATTCCATCCTGTCCGCATATCCAGCAGAATATTCTTGGCGTATTGTTGCACTGCTGTCCTCTGTGTCCCTCTTCTTTGCACCTTGAACATCTATTATTCATATTGAATGATCGAGTTATTCCTCTGCTCAGTGCTTGTGGGGGTTCCTGGGGTCTCCATTGGTTTCTCGTTTGTCTCCCGGAATTTCCCGGTTGCTGCCGTTGTGTCCAGTGGCTTTCCGGTGTGTGTTGTGGTGCGCGTTCCTGTGGTTGGAGGGCCTCGAATTCCTCTGCCAACTGTAAGTATTCCGCTAGGGTTCGGCATTCCCCTCGTTTAGCATACTTTTTGAACTCCACTCGACTGTTTCGGTAGACCCACTCTAGTTTCTTTTCCTCCGTGAGAGTGGTAAATCTCATGATTTTACGAAGTTCCCGTGCGTAGTCCTTTGCTGGCTCGTTTGAACCCTGGTGCCTGCGTGTTATGTTTTCCATTGCTTTCTCTTCGGAGTCCGCTGGTCTGTAGTATCCCAGGAATTCTGTCTTGAAGCTTTTCCATGATGGCATTGGAATTGGGTGGGTATGCCACCAGTCCAAGGCACAGTCTCTGAGCAAAATCACCATAGCTCCTGCTGCTTGGTCGAGCTCTATCCCATAGGCCCTTGCCAGCTCTTCCGTTCTACAGATGAATTCTGTCGGGTCGCCCGTGCCATCATAAAATTCTCCCCAGCTTCGTATTACTCCCATTGTGGCCACTTTGTCAGTCTTCCTGGGTTCGGGTATCGGTTTTCCGCTGCTTGTCGCTTGCATGTCTGGTATTTGTAGCAAGTTTGGGGTTTTCTCGCTGATGTGTTGCTCCGTGTTGGATGTCCCCTTAGCGCCTTTCGGTTGATTCCCTGATCCGTCGGGTGCTGGTGATGGGGTCCTTGCGTGTTTTTGTGCCAGTTCTAGGAGGCGTATGATGGTTTTTTCGCTGTGGTCACCGTTCTTTATGAACTCCGACATTTGTTTCCGCATGTCTTCGCACAGTGTTTCTGGCTCGATGTCAAATTCCATCAGATAGGTTTCCAGTTGTGTCTTATTGCAATTGGAGATCCAGCTTCTAGTTAGCTTGTCTGCCATTTTATCTGTGATTTGTTGAGGAAGAGGGTAAACGATCTTTGTGGTGTTTGAGGTTTCTGTCTATTTGTCTTCAATCTGTTCGGGCGCCACTGTAACGACCCTGTTTTGGGAGGCGGTATAGCTCGCCGTGGTCAGGGTTCGCGACAGATATTTCTATTTCCTCTATAGATCGATTTACCTCCCTTTCCCCAATAATGACACAGAGGGATAGAACTATAAAGTAGGCGTGTATTTCGTAGTAATTGACAAAATAGGGTTTTGTCGGGTGATGACGTATGCGTGAGTCGAGACTGCTTGCTTCGTTGGTTCGGCGCTACGGGAGGGCCGAAGGATGGACTGCTTGCTGTCGGTTCGGCGTTACGGGAGGGCCGAGTGGTGAACTGCTTGCCGTCGTGGATCCGATGCTACGGAAGTGTGAGTGATGAACTGCTTGCCGTCGTGGATCCGATGCTACGGAAGTGTGAGTGAAGAACTGCTTGCCGTCGTGGGGCCGATGCTACGGAAGTGTGAGTGATGAACTGCTTGCCGTCGTGGGTCCGGTGCTACGGAAGTGTGAGTGAAGAACTGCTTGTCGTCGTGGATCCGATGCTGCGGAAGTGTGAGTGATGAACTGCTTACCGTCGAGGATCCGATGCCACGGAAGTGTGAGTGATGAACTGCTTGCCGCGGAAGTGTGAGTGATGAACTTGCTGTCGTGGATCCGATGCTGCGGAAGTGTGGGTGATGAACTGCTTCGTCGTGCGTACGTCGGGTACGTAGTGTTCTGGGTCATTGGGAGCGATCTACTTGGAATTCTAGTGCGATTCGGGAATGTTAGTTTCGGTCTGCTGGGCATCGTTAGTTACGACCTTCCGTTTCACACCGGGACGCCAGTGATCCTCACCAGGTCGCAGAGGCGATTTAAAAACCGCACTCTTACGTATCCACCACCAATACCTAGATACCAATATAGCGATGGTATTATGGTATCGATGTATCGCATATTCCCATATATTTTTTGGATGCTGTTTGGGCCTTCAGTTGTTTCAAAAGTCATAACACTTATTTGCAGTCCCTGCTCTTTATAGCATCATGAATATCCTAATAATAATATCAACTTTACAGCCTCTGTGGACTCGATCACCGAGGGCGATAGACGCGCTCTGATGGGCGGCGATCTGCCTGCCTCGAGCACTTACTCAGGAGCCCTCTCCTACCACTATCCGCAGGCGGGACTCATCTGGCGCAGTCTGCCCAACATGGCCCACTCGATGCTGGTGCACGAGCCGGCCAAGATCTATCCCTATCACCTACTGCTAATCACAAACTATCGTCTGCCCTCGGACGTAGATCGCTGCAATCTTGAGGTACATAGATAGATAGATTATCCAAACAACATATTAATCTAATCTATTCTTCCCCAGCGTCATCTTTCGGACATCGAGTTCGAGCATATCTTGCAGTGCGCCAGGACGGAGTTCTACAGGCTTCCCCAGTGGCGACGCAACGAGCTGAAGCGGCGAGTAAAGCTCTTCTAAGGGCTAAGGGGCTTAGGAAGACGGATCCGAGGATAGCTACCCAAGTGGAGGCTGCTTGCGACGAAACCAAAAGAATTCAACTTACCTTAACAGCAGATGGTTATTACAAAAAACAATATAAAATGAAAACGAAACGGGAAACTATGCTAATTTCACAGCCAGTTTTGATACACGCTTTAAATAGTTGATGCAAGTAAAACCAACTAAACTTAATTTAAATACATAGTTACATTTACAGTGCGGAGCAACTAGCGGGCCGCTTCTGTTTATTTTTTTAAGAATTAGTTGCGCTAACGCAAAATTGTAACTGAGAAGACCTATATGAAAGGAACAGAAAATCCCAATAAAAACCAAGTGTATACAGATTTAAATTAGTTAAACACTGCATGTCCGGCATGAACGCTTTTTATACACAGTGCGAGAACAAATTAAACGCAAACATAAACTGGATCTTCTTTTCTTAATTACACTTTAATTAATAAAAAAAATGTTAACGGGCTAAAGTACCGAGAAATGCATCAAAGAATGAGAAATTAATGTACCTACAGCAAAACCACACAGCAAAAGGCGAAACGTTAGATGGTTGGCATCAAATTTACGCTAAATCAATATGCAAATTTTATTTATTACTAAATATTTTATTTATTTATTTAAATAGAATATGTCAAAGAATAAACCAGAGATAATAAAACAGGACAAAAGCAGTGTCAATGTGTTTACAATTATTCAAACATTTCGAGAGTGGCGGTTATAAAATAGCTTAATCCTAGATGGAATTTCTTAAAGGCTTTCTTTTAAAAGGAATTTCTATGGAATGTTATTATCTTAACTTTGTCGCATTGCCAACAAAGGACCATCTAGGGCTTAATTCGGTGTGTTTTGAGTTCAGGACGCAATATGTGACTGGAATGTAAAGTTCACAGAAGAAATACGTAAATATTGAACTAGATTTCACAGAACTTGAAGATTATCTATATTGCACCAATGATATTGCATTAGTTTTGCTTGTGCAGAGCCTCTTCGCTACGCAAACCGTAGGTTAGTTGAGTCTTCATCACCGCCAGACTGCTGCCGATGATCTTTTTGTGGTAAATCTGCCGCGTGACGAAGCCAAAGTCATCGTAGAAATCCCGCTCACTTTCCTGCCACTCGGACATGGTGCACTCCAGCAAGGCGTAACCGCCGGCAATGCAGTTCTTGACCACCAGCTTCACCATGGGCTCCATGATCGTCTGGTAGCGATAGTTGGAATCGAGGAGGTTCCGGACGAGATGACTGTGATTGGTGAGCCAGCGCCTAGTGCCAACTTGGTGGTTTTCTAAACAGATTCCTTCTCCTCCTCTAGTGAACTACAAGGTGGAGTTGTTTGATCCGCGCTCCAACGGATTCATGCCCTCATCCTCGGGTATTGGAATGCATGTGGAGGTCCGCGACAGCGACGACAAGATCGTGCTGTCCCGCGTGTACAGCTCCCAGGGACGCATCTCGTTCACCTCGCACACTCCCGGCGAGCACGTCATCTGCATGTACTCGAACAGCACCGCCTGGTTCAGCGGAGCCCAGCTCCAAAAGGAGAAGCTGCCCGAGCTGCAGCTGCGCATCCGCCAGCTGCTCGACCAAGTGGAGCAGATCACCAAGGAGCAGATCACCAAGGAGCAGACCACCAAGGAGCAGAACTACCAGCGCTACCGCGAGGAGCGTTTCCGTCACACCAGCGAGAGCACCAACTCCCGCGTTCTATGGTGGTCGCTCGTCCAGACCGTCGTCTTGGTCTGCATGGGCTTCTGGCAGATGCGCCATCTCAAGAGCTTCTTTGAGGCCAAGAAGCTGGTGTAAGGTGCCGATGAGCTCTGGGGGCATCATCATCAGCGTTGTTTCGTGTGTTTTCCCCCCGTCATTGCGGCAGGAATTGCGAATTTCATCGATGGATCGTCATCAACCAACCAGCCAACAGGCCTCTCGACTCCAAGCACTTCTAGTTTTAATTTCTTGTGCGTAATTGAATAAAATCCATTGTACAAAAAGAGACTGCGACCGAGTATGTGCACTAGGGCGGTGCAAAAAATGAAATTCTATTCTCACCCCATAACACGGTATATTAAAATAAGCAAAAATTGTATGTTAAAAGGAAAAAAAAAATTTTCGAGATGAATACCTTGCAAAACGTTTTCAAAGTTTGCTTGAAAATTACTCATACGACATGTATAACAGTTCGAATTTTGTCGAAAAAAATCGTTCTCCCATTTCTTGTCTTGTAAAAATATGAATTTCGTTGGAATAATTCAATTATTATAATTGGTAAAAAAAAGAGAGCAAAACATCAACCGAATTTTTGATATCTAAGCCACCTTGATTAGAAAAACTTTTTGATCGAAGGCAACAGTGCGTATGGGTGATAAACTTTGAAGCCAATTCGCAGACCCTAAAACCAGGGACCGAAAATAACTGTTATTGTAAATTTTTCTTACCAAAAAAATCTTAAATTTTGAAGAGTCCTACATTTTGTTTAAATACACCATTATTATACCTTGAATACCATAATTTGCACCGTATGCGCGGGTGAGAGTAGGACCTTAAAAATTTCCATACAAATGTGGACAGCCCTAATGTGCACCCCCGCATCCTATCTTGGATGGGTCAGACAACCAGTCAGCTGAGCCAGGTCCCATGACTTGCAGCCACGCTCGGCGTTCTTATCAGCGGTTTCTAGCAGATAAACTGCTGCATCGGCCCTTTATCTCACTGTTTGTTCTGGCGGAGAGTACTCTTTAGTATCTCTTGGACCGCCCAGAGCAGCGGTCGTCAGTCGCGGCACAAATCCGTCGCTTAAACAATAGAGCCCGTTTTGGCTGTGGCACAGCAAACGCAACCACCGACGACGACGACCCACAAAAGCCGCAGCTCTGTAAGCCAATCCGGTCCGAAGCGCTTTCGAGTCAACAACTGGTCCAAGTCTCTGCTCCCTACCTCTCCGGTTCAGTTCGTTTACGTCGGATTAGCCGTGAGGGCTGTGAAAATGTTTCGCGCTACGGAAATCAGCAGTGAAGAAAGTGAGTCTTCAGATAAGATAAGAAAAAAACTTCAGGTAATCCCCCTGGGTTTCCCTTTTATTGCATACAGCCCTGCCTGCTCTGCCGGAGCTCAGACAGGTGGGCTACGAGCCGGAGGGACGGGATGTGGAGTGGGGCGGCTGGAGAGGAGAACGGGCCCAGTTGAAGCGGCCGTTTCGCAGCTCCCTGCCCAACTATGGCTTTGCACCTCCGCCCATTCGCATGGAGTACAGGTATCCACGGGCCGTCTTCTTCGTCTTGGCCACCATGTTCTTTGAGGCCTTTGCAGCGAATGGCATACGCAGTAAGTTTAATGGTTTTGAACCAGAAAGGGAACATCGTGTTCGGGATGGGTACAAATATTCCGCTTTGTCTGGTCAAAAAATTCCGAAAACCAAGCTTATCAGCGGCATTATATTAGGGGCACAGATAAGGTGTGCAAGAGAAGCATGTTGGATCTGTTGAAAGACTGGGATGTTCATAGTATATTTTGCATTCCTTTAAAAGGTAACTGTACGATTTCGACTAAGCAGAAATTCGTTCGTTGCTGATAACTAATTTGACCTAAATAAATAGATTGCTGATATCTTGGTCTGCGCACATCTGCATGTGATAAACGGGTCATAAACCATATGCATCCAGCCGACGGACGTGTCTTCACACCATTTGTCATAACCCTTGGGAAATTCTAACCCGACCATTTGGTAGATGTAATTGCTTATTTAGGCTGTTTTCTTGTAAACTGATAATAAACCATGTTGTCCATTTGTATCTAACCTAGACCTAAGTAAATATCCTTGTAACCCCAAATCATGTATATAAACCCGGATCCATGCTCAATAAAATCAGTACGAAAAGAAATCTTGACGTATTCACTTCTCCGCAGCCCAATTTGTTCTGTACTTATTGCGGCGACTTTTGCCACTGGTTCTGTACTTGAGGCACGCAAAAAAAAACCCTTTTCAGCAAACCCGATTTCGGTAGAAATCATACATTTGGTGACCCCCGACTTTGAACCGCAACAATTGTTCAAATTGGGACTCTAATTTGAACCAGCATCATCGATCATAGTTTGATCAACCCAAGGTCTATTTGGTAAAAATTTGAACCGCATATATCGGTCAATTATAATATCCATTTGATCTGACTTCACGACGTTAAGTACAGTCTTCAACGGTCAACAAGGCGACCAAAAGACGGTAAATTCAACTACTTCAGGTGTGCGATCAACTTGGCGATCAAACACTGTAAGGATTTACATTGAAAGGTTCTGATCAACCAGGCGATTTGAACCAGATAAACTGCTGTTTCACTGATCGATCTGTTCAAAGCCAATTTACATATATATATCCAACGGTGTGAGTCGAGGCACATCATTACAAAATACCTCTTAAGTGGATTATATAAAAAAAAAAAAAAAAATGGCACCGAACAGCATTCATCAGTTGTTGACAGGACAGTTATCGATAGGAGAGCAAATTCAGAATGTCATTCGGAATTATAAAAAGGATTCCGTCGACAGAAAGACTAAGCCAGCCTACTACAGAGAACGTTTATTAACGTTAGAATCCCTGTGGGATAAATTCAACTCCGGAGATAATCAAATAAATATTTTCCTCAAAGGAGTAACGTTAGAGCACGATTATTTTAACAATGAATTCTTTAATAAAATTAAGCAACTGGTTGAGGACTATAAGACAGAATTCAACAATCAGTTGTCTCTCTTGGAAGCGGATGTTACATCCATCGCATCCACAGCAGAGGACATCGAAATAGAATCGATGTTCAGAGAACAAAGGGTGTTGCTTGATTGTTTAGAGCGCATCATAAATAAAATGACCGAAGAAACGAAACAGAATTTCTCGACCGTCATAACACAATACTGGAATGAAATAAAAGATATTCATGTCCAAATTTATAAAAAATTTAAGGACCCTAAGGAACTTGGATATGACGACAGCAGATATATGGCAGCTGAAGATGCAGTCATAAAAATACAAACAGAAATGTATGTAAAAAAGGAGACAACAAATAGTTCTCCAACAAATGCTGTTCAAAATGCATTACATTTCCCAAAGGTAGCCATACCCAAATTTGATGGGGATTATTTAAAATGGCAACAGTTTCATGATATTTTCAAAAAAATGATTCATGAATCAACGTTACCCACTATACAAAAAATGTGGTACTTGAAGACTAACGTTAATGGAGAGGCCGAACGCCTAATTCGCCATTTATCACTAACCGAGGCAAATTATTCAACTGCATGGAAAACACTTGAAGAACGCTTCAACAATAGAAGAGTATTAAGTAATACTTTAATTCAAAAATTATTGGATCATTCAATGATTACAAATGATTCGAAAACAATTAAATCGTTGCATGATAATGTGAAGGAAACATTATCTGCTCTCAATAACATTGGGATAGAGACAGACAAATGGGATCCACTTCTACTCTGTCTTCTAACGAAAAAGCTTGATCGACCCAACCACTTGTTATATGAGCAATCCGTTCAAAATACAAGGCAAATTCAACCTTTGAACGAATTTTTAAGCTTTCTTGAACAGAGGTTTCTCACTCTTGAAGCCATTGGATCAGAAAAAGGAAAAAAGCAAAATACATGTGCATCAGTTGGAGCTGAAACACAATATAACTGTTTCTTTTGTAAGAAACCAAATCACAGCATATATAAATGCAACGAATTTTTAAAGAAAACCCCAGCAGAACGTCTTAACTGGGTTCAAAAACAAAAATTATGTGTTAAATGTCTAAGCCAAAATCACCCGTCAAAGACATGCACAAAGAGAGATTGCTTTAAATGCAACAAAAAGCACAATACATTGTTGCACTTGGAAACAAAACCTGAATTTTCGGATAGCATCACAGCCGCATCTGCAAGTGGAAAGCAATCCAGTTATATTCTTCTGGCGACCGCCCGTGTAATTATTCAAGGAGTAAATGGACAAAAGGCAGAATTCAGAGCCCTGCTTGACTCTGGATCCCAAATTAATGCCATTTCCGAAAGAGCAATTAAAATGCTCTCATTGAAAACTACAAATTCGATGCTGAAAATAAATGGCATTGGTGGAAAATGTCAGACTTCCAATGCAAGGATCAATGTTCAGCTAAAGTCAAAACAAGGCGATTTTAGTTCACGGCTTGAAGCAATGGTTTTGCCTCACATAGTCGCTGATCAACCAACGTATACAATTTCGACTGATAATTGGAAAATACCAAAAAATATAATGTTGGCTGACCCTCAATTTGGAAAGCCTGGAAAAATTGATATTCTTCTTGGAGCCGAGCATTATTACAATATAATGCAACCCGAGTGCATGAGTATAAAGAATGGACTCCCCAAGCTACAGAATACCAAACTTGGATGGATTGTAGCCGGGAAAATTTCGGAGAGAGCACCTACATCATCAGTATGTGCTGTACTTACGGAAGGAGAAAAAGTTGATGAGCAACTCGCTAAATTCTGGGAATTGGATAATTTTCAACCAGAGTCAAAATGCTATTCACCAATGGAGAAACAGTGTGAAGATCACTTCCTTCAGAACGTTCAGAAGGCTCAGGACTCGAGACTTATTGTTAAGTTACCCTTTTTGGAGCATACTTCAGCGCTGGGGGAGAGTCGTGACATTGCCACGAGACGGTTTCTATCGTTGGAGAAACGACTGCAAAAAGATCAGGAAATAAAAAAAGGATACATAGAGTTCATGAAGGAGTATGAAGCTCTTGGGCACATGAAGGAAGTACCCCAAATACATCTTCCAAAGTCCCATTACTTTATACCGCATCATTGCGTTCTCAAACCCGACAGTCAGACAACTAAATTAAGAGTTGTTTTTGACGCATCAGCAGTGACATCTTCCGGGAAATCATTGAACGATTTAATGCACAAAGGTCCTACAGTGCAAAACAGTTTAATATCAATACTGCTTCGATTTAGAAT